TTGAGTTTATAGCCCAAGTGTCCTATTTAGCCTGTTAGGGTAAATGTGGCAGTTATTGTCATGCTTCATAACATCTTCCTCACAGCAGCTGCTGCCCCACCTGCCTGCAAAACGTCAGCAGAAGTATGTGTGCCAGAACACATACACGTGTTAGTCTCCACTGAAGGCTTTTTCTTTGCCTTCTGGTTGGGGATGACTAGCAAGTGTTGAGAGAGTTGGACGGTGCTAAGAGAGCTCTTTCATCAAACAACAGGGGAATGAAATAGTTACTAGCTGGTTGGCAGCTGCTGAGTTCAGTGCTGGTGCGCAGCTTTGCAGGTCAGCAGCAGAAGCTGAGAGGTCAGAGTTGCACCACAACGAAATATGGTGAGAGATTTGATTGCAGAAAGCTCTTCCTGCTTGTGCTGCTTATGGAGACTTTATTGCATCTGTCTCTCCGGCGGAACTTTCTGGGGTCCTGCTCAGATTTCAGACTGCTTGTAGTTACGGTACGTACCTGACCTGTGTTAAGTACTTTTCCAACTTCCACTCCAGAGGATTTCTTTTCCTTCAACCGCCCATTTAAGAGTTGCTGTTCTCATTTTCTCTGCCTCTTCCGACAGAGGAACTGAGCTCTGCTGCCTTTGCGGCATAAAAAGCTCTGTCTCTTGAGTGACTATAGTTTGTCATTAAAGTCACTGTTCCACTGAGACTGTTATTTCAGCTAAAGTGCAACAAAACATATGGAGATAAGCCTGTAGCTCACACAAATGCTTGTTTCGTCTCTAGATTATCCTTGCTAGCTGTTCTATGAGGACCTGTAGGTTCATTTCCCGCTCTTTTCCTCTTGACTTCCCTTGCCAGTAGGTTTCTGACTTTGCTTGAGAAGATCACTTGACCTCTCAGACCAAAGTTGTTCTCCATCTTTCTCTGTAGCGCCTCGTGAAGTGCAGCAAAGTTGGATCCATCATGCGGGAGGGGAGAGACCGCGTAGTTACTCTGGCCACCGACCGAACGGGCAAGATTTTGGCCTGTCACGTAAGTAGTAGGGGGCTCTGCTGTCGGGCTGTGCGAAGCTGTGAGAGACCTTAGGTAGTTTCTGCAAGGGCCAGCCGGGGCTTTGCATGCCTTTGACTTCGTTTGCTCCATCTCTAGGGAACAGATGTTGTTCTGGAAGTGTTCTCTGTCCTTTCTGAAGAGGAACTCCAAAAGAAATTGGAAAAGAAAATGAAGAAAGCAAGGAAAAAAGCCAAGTAAGTAGTCTTCGATGTATGTGGATGCTGTCTGTGTCCAGAGAACTGTTAGAACAGCCCTTCAGCAGCATGACACAGTGATTGAACTCCAAGCTACTGGTCGTTCCGTCTGTGCTAGCTGTGGTATTTTGGGATCACTGTTCCTGTGCATCCTTGGTGCTTGTTTGAGCAACACTGCTCCCAGAGATTAAGGAAATACCTTTCTTTCTGAGTCTTCCCCTGCAAAAAAAGCTGATGTGTGCAAAGGAATGGACATAAAATGCTCTTTTCGGAGTTGCTCACTTCTACCTGGCATTCATATTTACACTGCTTGGTGCCTCAAATGAAGTCCTTGATAGGATGTACAGCAATGAGAGTTGCATCTGAGAAGTCAGAGTGACTCTGATATCTCAGCTCCTGTTTTACAACAGGCAGAGGTACAGGTGAGAGCTTTCTTAGTGTTTACTTCATGTTAAGTGTCTCTCTGGGTATCCTGACACTTATCAGGGGCCTCACAACAGCCCGTAGGGAGAGGTCTCTCCAGGGTGGAAACTGAAGCACAGGGCATGTAAATCTGGAGATGCGTTTTGGCAATGGCTGAGGACTTCTGGTGCGTGGTAGGAGATAAGCAGAAGCTGATCTCCCTGTCAAACACAGCTTTTTGTCATCTGTTTTATATCCATCTTTCTGATGTGCCTTGCTCAAGTGCTTTGGCTCCAGAGGAGGAGGGTGCCTTTTTTAGGACAGTTTGTCTCTTTAGTAGTCTGCATACTAGCCTGGGCTTCAGTGTCTCAGCCTGTTCTCAATGCTGGATAAGAGGCCGTTGTTTTCAGCAGGCTAACTGATTTCCTTATGTTGTTCCCTGTCTCTGTTTGTGGTGGCTGTGCTGGGTTATTTGACACTCTTCCATTATCCAACATTTCTAGACAGAACTCTGAAGAGGAGCCTGAAGGGAGCGTGGAGCTGAGCCTGCAGGAGGAGATTCAGCGGGTCGCTAACATCAGAGCTTCTTCTAAAATCAAGTGAGTGGAGAGCCTGTTGCAGAGGCTGAGCTGTGGTTGTGCAGCTGCTTGGGAAGAGCTGTGCACAGCTCGATTCAGGGAAAGGTGGAAGAAGTTCCCCTTCAACACCTGTTCCTCTTGGAGATGGAGAGAGGCCTGCCAGGATCTCCAGTCCATTCACACCTCTTCCACAAGCGGTCCTCTTCTTGCACACCTCTGTGGCTTAGTGTGCACTTGCTTGTGGGATGCACTCCGTCTATATTCCTCTTTCTCACTTGTTCCTGATGTTTGATCCCTTCTGTGGTTTGTCTTATTGCCCGTGTACAGCTCTGATTTTGTCTGATCAAACAGGTCGTTTGACTTGCTTCTCTCTCCAAAAGGAGAGCTGAAGATCGTACTGCTGCTGCAGAACAACGTCATTGAGCTGTACCACCTGAACCTGGCAGAACAAGTCCCACAGCCTGTCCGTGCGTCCCGCATCACCGTTGGAGGCCACCGCAGTGATGTCAGGACGCTGGCTTTTAGCTCTGACAACATCGCCATCCTCTCAGCAGCTGCAGAGTCTGTGAAGATTTGGAACAGGTACGTGGGCCAGTCGTGTCAGTCCCCTCTGCCCTGTGTGTGTCAGTCTCCTGGAACTCAGGGATGCTGTGTTTGGAGAGGAGGCGATGGAACAATGTGAAATAGTGAAAGAAGTAAAGGAAGTACATAGAAAACTTTGATTTCTTTCCTTATTAGGGGAACTGAGAAACTATAGAGCTCAAACTGCGTAATGGACTCATGGAGTTTGATGCTCTCAAGCAGCGCTGAGGCTAAGTTTAGTGGCAGGTATCTCAACACAATGAACATACATAGCCGTCAGGTATAGACTGGGGTTTTTTTTTTGTTTTTTTTGGTTTTTTTTTTTTCCCCTTTTTAGTAAGAAGTACTAACTGTTACCCTAAACTAGTTACTGCCTGTTCTTTAGAGAACATATGGCATCTTATCTGAAGGATCTAGTGTTAGGCTGAGTAGGCTGCAGTTCCGATCTAGAGTGTTGTCCCAGTGTTTCTGGAGAGGTGCTGATTTCAAGCTCTGTTTCCTTGGAGCGTGTTATCTTATACTCCTCCTCTTCTGAAGGACAGGAGTTGCTGTTTGAGAACAGGAGCTCTGGCCTTGCTCCTAACAGCTGTAAGTCATGATAGCAAACTATGTAATGGTGTGTTCTTATGGAAAATGTTCTGAGCAGTAGTGCTGGATAGCATTTGGGTTGTAGGATGGTGACAGTTTGTCTTCTGGCCCCAGCTGAAAAGACAGCTGTGGGTAGAGGCTGCTGTGGAGCATGTCTCGCTTTGTGGGCCAGATTTCATGTGTGACAAGATTTTGGGCTCTGCCTTTGTCTGCAGGTCAACCTTGCAGTGCATCCGGACGATGGACTGTGAGTATGCTCTCTGCTCGCTCTTTGTCCCCGGAGACCGGCAGGTCATTGTTGGCAGCAAGGTAAGCAGTGTCCTTCGGCACTCCGGACTGCCCTGGTCCGGAAGCACGTTCTGGAAATGTTGCTGAGGCAGCCTTACAAAAAATGCATTGCATCTCCTGATCTGGAGCACTCTGTTTTAGGTGTAGAAACCTCTTTGACAGTCAGGTGCTGCTCTCTTCCCAGGCTCTTGATGTAACTTTGTGCCTTGAGCTGGACAGCTGGGGAGAGCTTTAGGAAGTCAGGAGATCAGGAGTTTGGCTGTCTGTGTGTAACAACTGTCTAGTGAAGCTAGCTGTTCAGGAGATGGGTGGCAGAGGTGCTCTTCTGCTAGGAGCTCTCATGTGTCGTCAAGGCAGAGGGGCTGATTTGTCATCTGTGCTGTATCTTTGCCCTCAGACAGGGAAGCTGCAGCTGTATGACCTGGCTTCTGGGAGCCTGATGGAGACACTTGATGCTCACGACGGGGCAGTGTGGTCCATTGCTCTTTCACCAGACCAGGTAACTCGGCCACCACCCTTCTAAGCATCATCTGTTGCATGTCTTTCCCTGTTGCTCCTTCCTATAGCGCTGTGTTTGCACTGCTGATGGGAGTATGGGAGTCCTTCATCCTGGGAGGTGGAGGATGCCCCTGGTAGTGTCTAAGCACTTTAGCTGTGGATACATGCACAGCTTGATGAAATAGCTCTCCAGTTGTGTGGCACGTAGCAATGAGTCTTTGGGCTGAGTGAGGCCATCTCGTCATCTCATCTGGCTTCTGCATGATTGAGAACACTCAGACTTCCCCAGTGGAGTCCGTGTGTGCAGCAACATATACCTGTGGATGTGTTCCAGCTGTGGAGAGCTCCAGCCCCTCATAACCTGCTACAGCGGCCAATTATCCTCCTTGTTAAACTTGCTGCTTGTCTGCTGGATTAAAGATCCCCTTAACATAGCGGTGGTTTTTGTTTGTGCTGTGCTCTTGAGTGACCAAATCACCTTCCCCATCTCCATGGCAGAGGGGCTTGGAACTAAGTGATCTTTAAGACCCCTTCCAACCCAAACCATTCTGGATCTATCTGATGGTCATTAGGCTGAACTTCTGTTCCTGCAGGATGTGTTTTCCAGGGTCTTAATTGTTCTTATGGGACGTTTTAAGTTACTGTAGTCTGTTTTTGCTGGTGTCCTCAGGGCCTGGGTGCACTGTGTGATAGGGATTATACCAGTGCCAAATGCACCAGTGCCTTTTGAATCTGTCCAAGGACTTAATTAGCTCTTTTGGTGGTAGCTCTGCAGTGAGAACGTGTTCAGAGAACAATCCACTGTGTCTCTCAAAGCCCATTTTGGGGCACTGCTTTGCAGAAGGCACATACGTGGGGCTTAGATCCTTGCTTCCTGGTGTATAAATGAATGTTTTAGTTCTGTTTGGGCACTCTTTTCCAGACAGATTGAATAGCTCTGACATTATATAGATCTATTTAACTGATTATTTTTCTAGCAATGAAAAAAATCTAAGCAGCATAGTGTCAAGTTATTAGGTATTTCTTATTTAAAATTAAGCTTTGAAACCTCTTAGCTGGTCTTTAATCCATGGAGCACGTGCTCTTTTGAACTATATTGTCCTCGTTTTGTAATGGAAATGTAACACATTTCCATGTGTTGAGGCATGCCTTGCGAGAGCTACACTCTTGCTGTTGTCAGCTACAGCTCTAATCTTAAGGAAAAGGATAATCCCCATCAAATTAGTTTTCCATAAGCTCTTTTCCCCACAGTCAGGTCACTTTGTGCGGAAATGCAGTTACCTGTCACTGCTGTTGACCCTGCTCACAGTTGCCAGGCCTGCCTGTTTACTCTGTCTGAATTATGGTGTTGCATTAGTTTCTTCCTGGATCCTCTCCAGTATTTCCAAAGTTGCTGAGAATGGACGTTGACAGGTCTCGAAGTCTTGGATTCCAGGTATCCGAACCATTGATTTATAAATGTCTGTCACAGGTGGCTGCTTTGTGACAGCCTCGTGAGGTTTTGGAGCAGTTTTTCATCACCATCTTGTCATGTGGTTATGATTGCTCCCTGAGCACACCAGATAAGAAAGATTTACTGAGCCCATGTTTACTGAGCATTGCTGTTTAATAGTTCTCATACTTCTCTCCAGAAATGGGTCAGTACTACTGAAAAGATTTTATTTTTTTTAATGTTCCCATTTTACATGCGCACACTCACTCTATTTGGCCTCACCACCCTGGCTGTAGAAATCTGTTTGTCTCGTTTACTCCTTGTGTCAGTTTTTCTGCATTACCACAGTTCAGATTCGTATCAGTTTCTATCAATTTCCACTTTCTTCTGTTTGTCATGTGTGCCTTCCTGATTTTTCTTACATGGTCACGTCGCGCTAGAAGCTGGAGTGATTTTTATTGGAATCAAAACTGTAGCAAGTAATAATCTGCCTGAGATTCATTCAGTTTACAGATTAAAGCATATGAGACTTAATCATTAATACTTAATCATTAATACTGTAGGAATGTGGGACGTTTCAAAGAGCTGCTTGTGTGTTGACGATTCCTTGCTGTAGAATTTGCCTGGGTTATAGCAAAGCTGGTTTCACTACAGTTTTTTTTGTTTCCCCCTGCAGCGTGGCTTTGTGACAGGAGGCGCCGATAAATGTGTCAAGTTCTGGGAGTTTGAGCTCGTGAAGGACGAGAGCAGTGTGCAGAAAAGGTGAGAGAAGAAACCTTCCCAGATGGCATTCAGCTGCAGTGCCCGTTGGGGCTGACGGGTGCTTTGGCCGATGTGCGCTGTGGGAAGTGCCCGTGCCGTGTACGTGGAACACGTGCACGAGAGCGTGAGCTCAGGGCTGTTTCGTGAAGGTCTGAGCTTGGCTGGGGAAAGGCACTTGCCCCGCTCCGATCCCTTGCTTGTGCCTGAGTTTAGTTTCTCACCACAGGATGGGCCTCCCGACCATTAAGCAGTAAATTCAGCAGCGAAGGTCGTCCGCCTGCAGTGCTGCACTGCTCCCTGTCCCATCTTGTTCGCGTCACCAGGGGGAATGAGATGCTGGGTGTTGGAATTAACTTGCTTTCCCAGGGTGCAATGTGGGAGTTGTATTCATACCTCTTCCCAGCTTGTTTGGGATAACAATTGTTTTTTTTCCTCTTCTTGTTGCCAGGCTTTCCATGAAACACGTGCGTGTTTTGCAGCTGGATGAAGATGTTCTCTGTGTGCGGTACAGCCCCAACCAGAAGCTGCTGGCCGTCTCCTTGCTGGATTGCACCGTGAAGATTTTCTATGTAGACACGCTCAAGGTGCGTGACCAAATGGGCTCTGAGGCTCTGCAGGGAGTTATGTAATTGCAGCCTGAAAGATCAGGAATACATGGGAAAAGTGTCTATCTATTGTGGGACACTAGTAAGAATCAAAGAGAGGCCGTGCATCCCGCTTCAGGGGCCTGTTTGCTAGCACAGCTGACAGAGCTGTGGCTGGCCCACTGCGAGGAAGATCCATTTTTCATCTGGAAACTGTTATGAACCTGCAGATGGCAAGGCTCACTCTAAACCCTGTGGGCATGGTGGTACTCCAGAGCTGCGAGGCACTGTAAGGGTGGGGAAGGATGTCTCACACGTGGCATTAAATAGGGCATGGCCGAGGCAAAGCCTGGGGGAGGAGAATCTTCCTTATGAGCTGTGTGTGGTGGTTTTGTGAGTTGTGTTTTGGCAGGTGAGTATTGGGGAAAGACACAAGACAGACCAGCACTGACAGACAGGCAAAGAGCAGTGGAGATAAACTCCACAGGCCGTGGTGATTAGCACCAGAGGTAGCTCCGTGTGCTTGGGTACTTCCACCCTTCTCTCAGCTCTGCCATCATGGCCCTACGGTGTTCAGGGCAAGAATGAAAGTGGGGCAGTGCTGGAAAGACAGAGGTGCTGAGGCAGAGCAGAACTAGCCTGGAGTTGGAGGTTTTCGCCCATCTCTACCCGGCACGTCTAACTGAGGCACCTTTCTTCTGCTTCAGTTTTTCCTCTCGCTGTACGGACACAAGCTGCCGGTGCTGTGCATGGACATCTCCTATGTAAGTATCATCAGGGCTGTGCGTGAGGGGGATCGTGGTGATACGGATGGCTGGGAGAACCTCTGCTGGCAGCAGGGCCTCTAGGACAGCGCTTTCTTGTCACCTCCTTGCTCTCGACTTAGCCGTTTCTTGATGGGACGCAGCAAGCCCTTCCTTATCCCACACTCTGGTGCTTGCTGGGAGGGGTCACAGTCATGACAGAACTGACCAGAGCATCTTGTGAGCCAGTGGGAATCAAAATGCTGTGGTGGTTCCCTACGTTCCTCTTAAGAGGTGCAGCCTGCTCTCTGCTAACGTTCCTAACTATGTGAGAGGAGCCTGAAATCTTTGTTACTGGGAGCAGAGAGCAGGTGCTGAGGTGGAGCAGCCTCTTCATGCCTGGTCATTCTTGGGCTGCAGCTTGCTCTGGGGTGTCCTTGCAGTGAGCCTCACTGTAAGCCAGAAACGTCAGGATACAGCCAAGGTGCTAAATGGCTGTAGAGGCTCGGAGAAGAGCAGGGTGCTGTCAGTGGGCTGTGCCAGTACTCCAAGCCTGGGCCACCTGGTGAGGAGGTGGAGGGATGTTCCAGGAGCCAGGTATCTGCTCGCTCAGCGCTGCTTGGTCAAGCAATTCCTCCTGGGGCTGCCAGCCAGCTACCCACACCCTCCTCTCTCTCTGTTGCTTTGTAGGATGGCACTCTGATTGCAACTGGCTCTGCTGACAGGAACGTGAAGATCTGGGGCTTGGATTTTGGGGACTGTCACCGCTCTCTCTTTGCTCATGATGACAGGTCAGTCAAATCCACAGCATCTCTGGGCTCTTACTTATCTCCAAGGGGTTGTGATCCAGCATTAACCTTTTTGTCCAGCGTAGAGTGGAGGGAGGTCTGCAGTGTTCCCCAAGTGGGTGAATTTGAGCCTTTTTTCCTTCCAGTGTGATGTATCTGCAGTTTGTGGCGAAATCCCACCTCTTCTTCACAGCTGGGAAGGATGGCAAGATTAAGCAGTGGGATGCAGATAAATTCGAGCACATCCAGACGCTGGAGGTAGGAAGTTTTGGAGACTGTTGAAGGGAAGCATTATCCCTGCCTGAGCAGCTCTTCCCTCAGTGGCTGGGAACTGGGTGGTGTTCATGTCTTACCTCTTCTGTCTACCGTGCAGGGGCATCACCAAGAGGTGTGGTGTTTGGCACTCAGTCCCAATGGAGACTACGTGGTGTCAGCATCCCATGACAAGTCCCTGCGCCTCTGGGAAAGGACAAGAGAACCACTTGTTTTGGAAGAGGAGAGGGAGATGGTGAGAGTTGCATCCTTCCTCCAAAGTCAGCTTCCAGACCTGTTTTCTCCCCAGCAGGCAGATTCCTCATCTTTCCCTGTGGAAGGGTCTGGCTCCACGCTTGGCAAACTTGCTCATTACTAACGCCAGCCTCACGCTGAGGTGCTCAGGGTTGACTGGCATCTTTTGCGTGATGAAACTGTTGCCCTGAGCTGTCTGGAGACAGCACCGCGATGTGGCAGGTGCTGGCCCGTGCTGCAGATGCCTGGCTAACTTGCTCTCTGCTTTGCTTCTCTTGCTTCCTAGACTTTCCTCTGTAGCTGTGGTTTTCTACAGATCTGTTGGTGACAGTCTTTGACCTTCTCTTGTTCTCTTGTGCTCCTTCAACTCAAGTGTACTTTGGAGGTGGTTCATAGCAGGTGGCTGTGTGGAACGATGGAAAGCACAGCTCCTGTTAAATGCTGTTTGTCTTTTCCAGTTGTGAGAGGTCCGTTCTATCTCAGTAGGAGGCCCTAAAGGTCAGGGATGCTGGAAGAAGCCCCTTCTGCTCCATTCGAGCATGTATTGTGAGGAATCCTGGACTCACAGAAGGACTTCAATAGGAAGGAAACTCTGAGGGTCTCCAGTCCAGCCCCTTGCTCACTGCAGAATAGCCTTAAGGCTGTGTCAAACTGCTCAGAGACTTGTCTTGACACCTGAATATGTCCAAGGAAGGAGATTTTCCAGACTGGCTGAGCACCTGTTCCAGAGCTGAACCACCGTTGAGGTTGTCAGATGCGTTTGTTTCACATATGGAATTGGAAGTTCCCTTGGAACAATTTGTAACTCTTGTCTTTTCACTGTGTTGCTCAGAGAAGTCTGGCTCTGTCTCCCCTTCTTAAAGCAGTTCTCAAACCACAGTGGGAGAAGGATGTAGAAACATGCAGAAGCAGGAGTGGATGAGAAACCTGCAATAAGTGTGGGGATTTTTGTCACAGCCTGTTTGGAGAGAGCTGTGGTGACCCATAGGCAACATCTTGATGCCCAGTGGTTGGCATGCTAGGAATGATGGTGGTAAAAGGAGAGAGAGACAGAGACTCCTTTTCCGTGTGCCAGAAAAGTGTCTTTTGGGTCAAGTTTGAGTAACAAGGTGGGCACGAATACACCAGGAGCAACTTACACACTGATGGGGCCCTACTGATGTGAGAGAAGCCAGACAGGAGGCTCTTTTCTCTTGCAGGCTAGGACAACCCTGGGACATTTCTAGACTTGTTTCTTCTGTGCTGGGTGCCAGGTGGAAGGTCTGGTGCTGAATTGCTGTTGTCTCTGTCTCAGCTTGGTGGGCTGTCTGTGACAGTTCCTCCGTCCAGAGCGGAGACCTCGGTTTCTTTCTGTCTGGGAGATTCCAGTGTTCTCCGTGGGGTTAGGACCAGAGACAAGTGGGCATTTTCCAGTGGGATAGTTGATCTCTGCTGATCTGTTCTGGTTTTGCTATGGGCTACGTGAAGCTGCAGCCTCCCTTGCTCAACCAGTCGGGAAGGGACCTGTACCCTTGCTTGCAGCCTGCTCGCCTGTGTTAATATGTCATCTTCTCATCCTGTAGCAACGAGAGGCTGAATATGAAGAGAGTGTGGCGAAGGAGGAGCAGCCTGTGGTGAGTTGCACCATCTGAATGTGTGTCAGTCTGACTGTACAAAGTCTGGAATAACAAATTCTGGAAGAGGTAAAGAAGAGGTGTCAGAGAGGACTGAGAATTTTCTTGCTTTGAGGAGGTGCAGGGAGGGGAAGGTGCTGCTGAAGCTGTGGTTGCCCCGTGATGCAGTTGACTTTGCTACTTCCTACTGGCAACTTCAGGAGAGTGTGGAGCTGGCTGAACTGCACAGTCACTGCGGACGCTGAAACCTTGCTGTGCCCTTGCCCTTCCTACCTCCCCAGTTCAGGTCAGCACCAGCTCTGTAACAAGGCTGGGCTGTCTCCTGACAGCTGCTTCCAGGTCCATGTAGGGCAGGACGGGTGGGGAAGCCCAGTCCCTCTTGCTCAGGTGCTTGGGTTGTGTTCCCGATCGTTTTCACACTGATGGGATCGCTGGCCTCTGTTGGTGGAACAGGAGCTGTGTTCACCTGCCTCCCCGAGCTCCGCGTTAGAGCAGCTCCCCTGTTCCTGGGGAAGAGCTCCGCGCTTGGGAAATCCTGGATTTCCCAGATGGAGAACCAGTTTAGGGAACGGGGCTGATGTTTTCCTTAGAATGGGCTGTGGTCGGATGCAGGGGCTGTCTGTGTGTATCGGCTGCGGAAGGAGGGAGTTGCAGACTCTGTGTTTCATTGTAGGTGGCTGGAGAGACGCAAGGGGAGACGGGGCTGGCAGGAAGGAAGACTATCGAAACCATCAAAGCGGTAAGATGTGTGGGCCCACCAGCACTGCCTTGTGCCTTACCAGTCTCTCAAGGAGGGTTGGCCACAGGGTCGGAGCATCAGTTTGAAGAGGAGTAACCTGTGCTGTCACTGCCAGCAAGAGCAGTCTGTCCTCTGTGGCCAACAGGGATGGGTCTGACTCTGGAGAGTCAAGCACCAGGAATCATCTCCTCCTGAGATCTCCCCAGGGAATGAGGGGTGAGATTCCGGCAGCAGCAGCTTTCTCTGCCTGTTAGGTGTGGGACCAACAGGGCTGCTCTTGCCCTTTGGGTTCTGCAGCCCAGTGAGGCAGGAGGCAGCTGGAATGTTCTCCAGGCATTAGGCCTCTCCCCAAAGGGCTGCCCAGTCCCGTGGGCATCTGCAGAAGGTGGAAATGTGTTGCAGTGCCCGAGGCAGGAGGTGTACCAGGAAGGTGTGGGGGTGGGTAATTTCACACCGCAGATTTCAGCAGTCTGATGCTCCTGTAAATACAGAGAAAGTCCTTAATCTGAAATGGCCCCGGCTCGTGCCTCGGAGGGGTCCTGCTTGCTGGGAGTGCAGTTCAAGGTCAAGACAGTAATTGAAGCTGCAGCAGAGAGCACCTGGGGCACTGGGGGGAATGTGGGTGGTGTTTGACATCTTCAGGACATGAGTGATGTGCTCAGAGGGTGGTGCAGTCTGGAGTAGAGGTTATCTTCCCGTGATGCTCCGTGTCAGCCGCGCTGCTTCCCCCTCTGCCTGTCCCGTTGGACTCGAGCTTTGGCTTGTCTGGTGTCGCTGATGTGCCCTTCTTGTGCCACACAGGCTGAGCGGATCATGGAAGCTGTCGAGCTGTACCGGGAAGAGATGGCAAAGCTACAGGAACACAAGGCTGTATGCAAAGCAGCAGGAAAAGAGGTAAAAGAGTGAGGAATGCACCGATCCCAAGGTGCGTCGGGCGTATCCTTCCCGCTCGGGTGGAGAGGGTCAGCACGCAGATAGAATCAGGACAGCTGGAAAGAGCAGAGATTTGCAGAAATCTTTTGGAGAGCGAAGTGCCCCGTGCTTTGGGGCACATTAAGGCTGTGTTCTTTCCAATCATCTTTATGTTTGGAGTCCCAGTGGGATGCACGCTGTGTCCCTGGGAGAGCACGCTGCTGCAGACTCATCCCAGGCCTGTTCCTTGCCTTCATCTCAACGCTCCCTGCTGAATAAAGGGCTGTGATGTGAGCGGGAAAAGTGACAGTTAAGAAGTGGAAGAAGATTCATACGTGTTATAGTCATGTATGTCTGAGAATGAGATTGTCCAGTAGCAGCAAACAAGGCCTCCAGCGACGTTCTGGGGAGTGTAGAAGCACAGGAATTGCAGGAAGACACTTGATAAAAGCCCTCTTACACCGCAGGGTGAAGTTTTCTTTCTGAATATGCATTTGTACACACCCACCTCCCTCATTCTAACCCATTCTGTGTCTCCAGGTTCCCTTTCCCGTCAATCCCATCCTCCGTGCCTATGGAAATATTACAGTAAGTGGAATGCCCACCGGCTGTGGGCCATTCTCAACTGGCGTGGGGCTGGTTGATTTGCTGGCTGAGCCAAAACACTGGGTTGCTGTGGGGAAGGGGGACTACGTGGTTCAACTCGAAATGAAAACTCAGCTCTTCAGCTTGTGCAAAGTGAACACAGTTTGGGGTTTTTGTGGAGGTTTTTTTAAATTTTATTTTATTATTTCTGTGGCATTGGTACAGCAGTTACTAATTCTGTTTCTGTCCCTTGCTCCATGGTGATTGGGATATTTGGTTATAAGTTGAACAGACTGAACAGAAGTGAACGAAATCGTGTGACTTAGTAACTAGGCATTTTTCTTGGCAATTCCCAGCTCTGCTCTGCATCTGCCAAACCCTTTCAGCAGATAAACAGGAGCAGCTGGAATTAAGTCTTTGGGAGATGGGCTTGTGTAAGGTTTTGTACGTGTAATTTGTTTCACCAAGCTTTTTATCCAGTTTGTGCAAGATTCGTTGAACTGAACATCAGATTATTTAGCTCTTTGAATATAAATTAGATTTTTCATGATACTCTTCACCAGTTTAGGGTATCCTGAGAAGGCTGGGTTTATGTTTTGGGGAGGCAGAACTTCCCAGACTGGCAGCTGATTGGAGCTGAAGAGTTTCCTTTTTGTTATGTTCAGCTTGATCTGTCCATCTCACAAGATGTGAATTGAGTGTTTTTAACTGGGTGAAATGGACCTTAAGGCACATGTTTGTCCTGGAATGTTTCTTGATATGCAGAACTGGTGTCTTTCCTCTCTTGCAGCCTTCTGCCTACGTGCTGGAAGTTTTCAAGAAGATCAAGTCGAGGTGAGTCCCAAGAGCCTTATTGCTGAACAGGCTTGTGAGTATGGGATTTCTGAGCCCAGGACTGGCTGGAGTCCTGGAACGGTCTCTCGTGCTGGGTATGGGCAGGGCTAGAGAGTCTGGAGTTACTGTTCCTGGCAGCCTTTTTTGGAGCGTGCATGGAATTAGGGAACGGAAATTGTTCCTTCCATGAGGAGCACTGGGTGAAGCTCATGTATGTGGGCTGGCTGCCTGGAGATGCACCTGTACGTGAAGAGCAGCGTGGGGTTGCTGAGGAGGGAGGATTGTGTGCCCGCTCCCTGTGCCAGACGTCTGCTGGCCTGGGCTGTCGTTGTGCGGATGCGCCGTGCTTCGTGGGCGGTCACAGACCAGCAGCGATGAGTGCTTGGCACAGCTCTGGCACCAGAACCTGCCTGTGCAGAAGTGTTCCCTGCTTATCTGCAGCGAGTGGCTGAGACTGACACTTCTGTCCCTTTGCTTTCTCCGCAGTGAGCTGGAAGAGTCTCTCCTGGTGCTGCCCTTCTCCTACGTCCCCGATGTGCTCCGACTCTTCAATGAATATATTCACCTGGGCTCAGAAGTGGAACTCCTGTGCCGAGCTCTCCTCTTCCTGCTCAAGTGAGTCTTCCATCTGCTGGACAGACCTGCTAGTCTTCGTTCGGTTGCTGTTGCTGCCCACGACCTGGGCCCCAGGAAGCCGTGGCAGGGCTGTGGTCACTCGTGGGCTGCCGGTTCCTCCGGAGCCCTCGCGCAGGTGCGCGTCACGAGCTCGCGGTGTGCCGGTTCCGTGAGCAGAGGGGTGCTCCTTGCTCCCGTGCTGTGAGACGGCGCTGCGGGACAGCGCGGAGCCGGGGAATATGCCCCGTTTCCTGGAGCTGCAGGATGACATCGCTTGCCACGAACCCACGGGGCGTAAGAGCGTGGGGAGAATTGGGGCCTTCTCGTATGTCCCTGGTTCTGAGGCTCTTGGGAAGCATCCTTGGGAATAAAGATGTGGTCTGTGCAGGAGATGAGGAGTCACTGCAGCGGATGGTGTGTGGGAATGGACTGATCGGTGCGGCGTTGCCGTGCCCAGACAGGGCTGTTGGTCCTGGTCTCCCAAGTCCCATTTGTATGAAAGATCCTGTGTCAAGGCTGCAGTGGCACCGTGTGCTGGCAGAGCTGTTGTAGAGCCCACGCCCTCAGAGACCTTCCCCTTGAACCACTGTATGTTAAAGCTTCAGAAAATAACTTTTCCAGATAAATCTGCCCATGCCTGTTATATAGGGCTGGTCTGAGGAGGCCTAATTTAAGGAAAATCCGATTTCCAGAAAATGCAGAGGCTCAGGAGAGGGACTTTCTGATGTGTCTAAGAACAATGCTGCATTACATCACCGCTTGCTTTGTTCCCAGGATACATTTTGGGCAGATCACAAGCAACCACATGCTGGTGACAGTGATAGAAAATCTGAAGAAAACCACCATCTCCAGAGTCAGTGAGGCCCGGGTGAGTGTTGCACCTTCCCCTTTTCCAGGATCTGGAATAACAGGATGGGCCAATGTCTGGGAGAGCGTGTTGTCTGTGGGTTCCAGTGGGAAACTTGGTTGGGGGTCTGAGCCCCTTTCACCTACCTCCTGTGCAAACCTTTTCCGTGTGTTCTTCCCGATGTGAGACTCCCAGCGATGAGCCTGTGCTCCTGCTCCTGCCTCCCTCCTTTACTCCTGGTTTTCTTTGGGCTTCGGCTCGCTAGTCTGTAAACATGTAGGAGGTAAACAAACTCTGTTTCTCTTGGGCTTTTCCATGGGCTACTAGTCTCCCAAATAATGCAAACTGGGCATCTTCCCAGAGGCAACTTCAGGTGCCCGCCAGCAACTTGTTGTTCGGGAAATACCGTGGGTGAGAGCTGCTCTTAAGAGAGAACTGTGGGGAACAGAGTTCAGGACTGGCCCCTCTCCTGCTCAGATGAAGTTTTAACGTAAAAATGTTGCTTTGTTTAAATCTGTGGATTGTCTTGCCTTCATCATTTCTTAGTAGAGGGTGGCCAGTGCAGGACTCTGCCCCTAACAAGCTTGAGATGTGCCCACCAGTGTGGTGCTGGTCTGTCTCTGCAGGATGTGCTGGGGTTCAACATGGCAGGGCTCCAGTACCTGAAGAGGGAGATTGAGGCCAAGGACGAGGTGACGTTTTTTGCTGACGCTACTGACCGTTTTGAGGAGAAGAGGAGGAAGAGGAAGAAGAAAGAGAAGATGGTTCTTGCAGTGCTCTAGCATTTGCTGCCCCAAACCCAGAGCACCTGGATGAGGCCGTGTAACCTCAGTGCTGCCCATGGAGGGTGTTCTTGGGGTGAAGATCTGTGATGGTGCCTGGTGACTGGGACAAAGTCTGTGCCCCCGTGAGGTGTAACCCAGTGTACGACCCCAGCTCAGACTGGTTGTCTCTGAGGTGGACTCTGCTCTCTGTGCAAATGTTTGCATCTGAACTGTGTCCGGGGTGGCCGTGGAAGCCGTGTGCTTTCCTCCAGCGGAATGCCCGTTAGAAACGGAGTTGATTTCTCCTGCGGAAGAGATCTGCTCGTTCTGGCAGCGCTGACTGCGTGGAGCGGATCCAGCACACGGAGTGGTGAGGCCGTGCCCTGTCCAAGCGGTTTGGGGCAGTGCTCAGAGCCCCCGTGGACACCGCTGGGGGGTGGCTGCCAAAGCGTGCCAGCGTGCACTGCATCCCCTCGCTGTGCCAGCGTCCGCTGCAGCTGCTCGCCTTTCAGTGGGGCGGCCAAACTGGGCTGTGCCCTGTTAAAGGCGGACGTGTCTGTGCTGTGTGGGACAGCTTTGTGCGTGGAGTCTGTCCTGATATTCCTCTAGTAAAGCTGCAGCTGCCGTTCCCCGGGTGCCTGTTCTCAAGGGCCTTTTCTCCAGAGAACAACATCTGCGGGAGCGAACGGATACACACAGTGGGCCCTTCGGCTGCTGATGGAGTGTTGTACTGGGCCGCGGCAATCCCGCCCCGTTCATCCCTCTGCCCGTGATGCCCGCCCCGTT